GGAGGTGTGCCACTGGGGGGGGGGTTGCTTTAGATTCCAAAAGGCCACACTTCTCTGTTAGCTTTCTGTCTTGTGCCTGTGGATCAGGAAGCAAGCCCTCCAGCAACAAGCCTACCTGCCTGCTGCCACATCCCCTGACTTGAAGGCCATGGACCCTCGGACACTGTGAACAAACCCCCAGTCAAGTGCTTTCTTTTTATAGAGTTGCCACGGTCATGGTATCTCATCACAGCAACAGAGCAGTCAAGACTGTGAGCTTCCTGAGGCCAGATCTCATTCCTCACCTAGCTCTCCTTGGAGCTAGCAAAATTATCTTCATAATGCTCTTATGAATGAACTGAATTGCAGTTGATGTAAATAGTCAGTTTGGATCAGGTATCCATGAAACCAGGAGACTTTAGAATGTTTACCATCATGTAAAGTTAAAATGATGGTCTTTGTGGGCTGCCTGTTAAACAAGATTGTGCTTTTTAGGCCTGGAATAGATTGGGTTTGCCTTCGTGAAATCCTTTGGTATTTTGAAGGAACTGGAATGTAGGAAGCTAAATTATTATTTTTTTTATTTTTCAAATACCTTTACTAATTTTTATTTTACCATTCCTCCTGTGGCTTATCATATATTTATGTTTATATTGTATATGATTAATAGAAGGGTCAGTTTGTTCTATTTTCAATGGGAAAGAAATTGCTAAAAAATAACTATATTTATTTCCTGTTTAATATTTATTAACATGGTTTGTGGGAGACCAATTAAGGCATTCAGTATCTGTACTGAAAGTAGGAAATTATTAACTTTGCATATTCCCAATGGAGCATTACAGACCACAACCTATATTGAAGAATAATTGACAGAAATGAAATTATTTATAAGATGTTCTAAGCAATGGATTTGGATTGGATACTATTTTCATCCCAAAGCTTTCTTTTGCTTTAGAGATAAATGCATCCCTGAGTTTATGAGGAAGTTGAAGTAAAATATTTAATTTCAGAAAATAAATTTAAATTTGTATTCAAAACCCTATGTATAGGTATACTTGGGGTGCCTGTCAGAAAATCTGTTTAAAGTTCATTAGTATTGTTTTATTATGAAGACACACACACTGCAAGCTCCAACAGATGATTCTGACTGCTACTACAAAAGAGCTCCAAGATCTTGAGTTGCAGCTTATTTATTTTAATTAATTAATTATTTTGGTTTTTCAAGGTAGGATTTGACTATGTTGTGTAGCCCTGGCTGTCTTGATGTTCACTCTCTAGACCAGGGTGGTCTGGAATTCACAGATAGACACCTGCCTCTGCCTCTGGAGTGCTGGGACTAAAGGCGTGTGCCACCACTGCCTGGCTGAGTTGCAGCTTGTTTTACATAGTCTTCTTCTTTTCTCTCTCTCTCTCTCTCTCTCTCTCTCTCTCTCTCTTTTTTCTTTTGGAGATACACACTTCCATGTGATATTTAAGCCTTTTTTCCTTTCCGAAGTACAATGTACATTCTGTACATTCCAATTAGCACAGAATGAACACCAGATGCTCACTAAGCAAATTTATATATATTAATTTAATATATCTAATTAATGGATTAGTGACATATATTAATAGCATGCATATGCATACACAGTAAAGAGGAGCTTAAACCACAGGGAAGAATATTAGGTAGCTGTAGCAATATTAAATCACATCTAAGCACATTTCTGTGGTCTCACAGCTAGACCTTAGCTTGGTGCTTCGTAATTACATATTTCCAAGCACAGTCTCTTCATCTCTGTTACTGTCACCACTTGTCCCTTCGAGTCATCCTCGTCTAATTCCTGTCACTGCGCCCAGCTTCCCACTGGTCCCTGTTTCTACATCACCCATTGTTCTCAGAGTCCTTCTAAAGCATGTAAACTCCATCTTTCCGTGCTCTCATTTCACACTGCCTTCCGATCACATCACAAATAAAATTCTAACCCTGCCGTGCAGTCTAAATACCTCCCAAGATCTGGTCCCAGGCCACCTTCCATCCAAGAGAAAATTCCTAAACTGTAAAGGAAAAATATAATCATGTGCACATAGGAATTTCATGTGTGCCCACACTCAACCTAGCAATGAAAAAAAATCTTAAGACAATTATACCTGCAAAGAGTGTGTGCAACTATTTAATGATAATTAAGCTAATTATTATTGCCTAGATATTCAGTTTGTATAAATCCTCCCCTGCTTTTAAAAGGAAGGATTCATTTATTTGAGCACCTATATTTTATTTGTCCTCATTTTTACTAGTTCTGTGAGAATTTCATTCAATGTGTTTTGATCATATTCACCTCCTCCTCTAACTGCCCCCAGGACCACTTTTTCCCTATCCACCCTTTGTGTGCTCTCTCTCTCTCTCTCTCTCTCTCTCTCTCTCTCTCTCTAAAACTCATCAAATCCAATTTGTGCTGCCTGTATATTCTTGGATGTGTGGTCTCCACTGGAGCAAGGTCAGCCCATCAGGGGCTATGATGTTAGAGAAAACGGATTCTCCTTCTTGCAGCAGCAATCACTCTAGCAACTACTCTCTAGGACGGGGACTTCATGCCTGCTTTTCTTCTCTGTGCTGGGACTGGTCCGGCTGGAGTTTGCACAGGTCTTGAGTGTGCTGTCGATACCATTGTGAGCTCATCTGTTTAGCTGTCTTGCTGTGTCCAGAAAACAATGTTTCCCTGTAGTCATCCACCGCCCTGACTCTTAACATCTTTTCATCCCCTTTTACACAATGGTCCCTGAGTCTTCAGTGGGAGAATGATATAGATGTCCCTTTGAGGGCTGGACATTCTTCAGCCATTTATCCCCTGCACCTCGATGGGCTGTCGGTCTTTGTACTCATCACTATCTACTGCTAAAAGATGAGAGTTGGGAAAAGGATTATCTTATGGATACAGCTATAGATCATACGGAGTTGGCTTAATATTCTGACTATTTAGCAGAATAAAATTAGTGCCATCACCCATAGGTCCTACCTATGGCCTGTCTAGCTACAGGTCCTTGACCCAACAATAGCGTAAGATCTGTTTTTATCTTATGGATTAGTGATTAAATATGATCAGGAAGTGGTTGGTTTCTTCCATGATGTTCATGCCACTGTTACACCAATAGGTCTGTCTTGCCAGCCATTATTATCATTATATTTTCCTTTTTTTTTTTTTTTTTTGAGATTGGTGGGAGGAAATCTTGGTATGCAGCCCTGGAACTTGCTTTAAATTCTGGCCTCTCGAACACAATTTCCTTATCTTCACCTCCAAATGCTAACATGCCTGACTTGACCTCGCTGTTGTTTTGATAGCAGCTCTGAGCCCACCTTCAGCTCCCTAAAGTTCTTCAAGGATGTGATCATTGTCATTTATATAAGATCTCAACGTTTTCCTCCCACTTGTCTTTGGAATAATTCTTACCTATCTGCACGAGACCCTTCTCCTTCATGAGGCTAAGTATTGATGTGCAGTAGGACTTTCTTTGGAACACCATCCCCCAGATAATGACACGGAGACTTATTATTAATTATGAAAGCGTGGCCTTTAGCTTAGGTTTTTCCCCAACTAGCTCTTATAACTCAAACTAACTTGTTTCAATTCATCTACATTCTGCCATGTGGCTCTTTAGCTCTCCCCTATTCTGTACATTCCATGCCTCGCTGGTGACATCCTGCAGCACAAGATTCTAACCCATAGTTCCTCTTTCTTCCAGGAAGTCCCGCCTATTCTCTCCTGCCTAGCTATTGGCCATTCAGCTCTTTATTAAACCAATCAGAAGGTGCCGTAGGCAGGTGAGGCAGAACACATCTTCACGCAGTGCAAACAAATATCCCGCGGCATTGGAATGTATTGACGATGACGATCTGATTTGAGTCTTCCCCCTGAAATTGAAGTTTACACGTCCACATGCTTACCCTCCTCCCATCTGACCGTTGTCATCTCAACACCTGTCCAATACTGACCATCTTCTCTACCCTTATGTCAAGTATGTGCCTCTAGCAGCTTTCGCCACGTCAGGAAGTAGCAATTCTGTCCTTTCAGTGAGCCAGTTGAACCGCGACTCCCTTCTTTAAGCCCAGTCGACAACTCTTTGGTCTAATGTCAAGCGCATGCACTATCTGTTCTCTTGGCTTACACCGCTGCTATCTGGTCTGAGCCATCATCTGTAAGAGGAAGATAACCGTACACGGGATAGAAATGTCATTGGTTAATTTTATTAGGGAGAAATCACTTACATGAGAAACCGATAACCCAGGTCAGCGCTCGGAGCATCCAATCTCAGCAGCTCTCTGAGACCCGACTGAACCCCAAGAGCGAGCCCTGCACTTCCTTCCTCTCCCCAGGCCTGTATCCCACAGGCTCCAAACTCACCTGTGACCACGCCCAAACGGGCATGGTTGGCGCTATAGGTACCTACTAAGATCTCTCCCTACAATCATCATCTGTCGTCTAACCACGTGTGGCTATCCCAGCACCTCCCCCCCTGCACCTGCCCCCTGCTCTCAGCAGGTCACGAGAACAATCTTGCGAAGGGCCCTAGAGTCTGGCATCTCTCTCATGCAGCATCACCGTGGCTACTCTGGCTGACTTTGCTTCGCGTATCTTTCTTACTTCACTGGTGTCACAGTTGTAATGAAGCCACGTGGAGGGACTACAGATTTAGCTCAAATGGGAACAACACTGATTTATGTGAGGAGATAAACCAACCTTCAGCATAACTGAACCTGTGCTCAATTTTACCTGTGAAGAAAATATCCCAAAGACTACTGGCAACCATTTCAGGGAGTGTTTTCCACAAGACAAACACCTTTGGAAATGAGAATCTGTTTCTCAGTAAGTCTGGGTGATCTGTTCAGGGATCTTTGATTCTATTGATCTTTTTGTATGTGAAACATTATAAGTAAAAAGAAAAAAAGTAAAGTACTTTTCCTAGAACATTGGTATTCTCAGCCAGTAGAAGATGGTTAATTAAAATTCGAAGGTGATAGCCATCATTATTGCTTTTCTGTACAGGCCATCATTTTCAATCTCCAAAGAATTCATACTGAAATTTAACAACACACAGAATCCATCAGAGCAGGAAGAATTGTTGGAACAAGCTAGGAAACTCCTCGCCAGATGTAAGGTAATGGTCTGTTCCCTGGTTACTCCATATGTAAACTTCCTTTTGTAGTTTGTGAATGCTAACCTGCTGTATAACGTTGAAAGAAAAAGTAAAGTTGTGGCTACAGACAGCTACCTTTGTAAGCAGGTGGAGCTCAAGTGTTAATATTAATTAAATTTAAAGTTTATAACCAAATAATTTTGGTGAGAAGGTTCTCTGTAAGAGATCATAAAACATTGGTGTGGAAGAGTGGCTTTCAGAACATAAATAAGAAGTGATGAAGCAAACAGACCAACAAAGGGATACACATTTCCACTGACTGTGTTCATCATTTGCTTTTCCATCACAGAGGAAGCTGGGTCTTAAGACTCTGGGCTCTGGGAAGTATGTGCATCTTCCGTCTGCTTGGGCAGAGATCATCTATCTGGCTCAGTGCAAAGGCGAGATCCAAGACGGTATGTGTGCGTGCAGACCCACTACAGAGGAAAACCAAGCATTTGTAGACCCACAAGGGGATGGTTTGAGAATTCAAAGTCAATTTTTAGTAAATTTAAAGTAAGTTTTGTAAATTCTCCATCAAAATATCTCATGATGTTTCATTACAAAAGTTCCTCAGTAATTAGGCACTCATGGCTTTGGCTATTAAGCTTTTTAATTATAAAACTTTCTAAAAGCTTTTTCTCAGTATAGTCTTTATATGTTTCCCCAGAATTGGTAATTAATTTAAAACTCACTGTATACTGTTGAATGAGTCCACTTACAGCAGGCACCTAGACAAAGGTGTTTTCTGCACTTTATAGTCTAACGTATAAAACATTAACCAAATGGCCCTTGGCTTGGCTTTTTTCTTTCTGCTTTAAGACAGGAAGCTCATTCCCTTTTCTCTTATTACTTCCCACTTATATGGCTCCTTTCAAGCAACCTCTACCCAATCTAAAAAGGAAATTAAATAACATTATTTTTAAGGGGATGAAATTCCTTCTCTCGTTAAACTAAATGTTATGTGTACGCCTTGTAAAATGAGTTTGGGGACGTTAACTGCTAAGGTCAGAGGATATTTCCCACGTAAATTGGGATTTGTGATGCTGCCTGGGAGCTTCCCTAACTTGGTTTTATGGCCCAGCATCATGGCGCTGCCACCTCTATTGGATGTTTAGCAGATTTTTGTGGGATGAAGGCCTGGTGGTCTAGACCAACCAGCAGCCCCACTGCTGTCTGGGAGAAGAGGAAAGGCAACTGGAGGAGGGAGGTAGGGGAAGGGCGTGGGGCGGAGGATTTAGAAATAGGCTGTGTTTCTTTTGGGGATTTGGCCCTGGAAACCACCCGCTGTCATTTCTTCTGGGTTCTATTGATTGAATCCGTCACTAGGTCTGCTGAGGCTTGGGGTACCTCTCACTGGGTGGAAAGCATTTACAGACACAGCAGAACCCCAGAGTCTGAAGGACAAACAGTGAATTGCAAGACGTGAGTATAATAAGCAGAAAGGCAAGATTAGTTTTTCAGTGACGCAATTTCACGTTGGTGACGTTTCAGAAGCTTTGAATATGCTCCACGCCTCCTTGGACCAAGTTTCTTTCAACTCCGATCAGCTTCCCGCCCTGTTTTTTCTCGCGGAATCAGTTTTATATCGGCTCTGTTGTGATGCATTCCTGAAGGGATTTTTATATTCGGTCGAATTAAAACTGGTGAAGGTATGTGTTTAATTTTAGAACTTGTTTTAATTGTTACAGATGCAAGCAATGGGAAACTACAGTGCTGTCTGCTTCAGGGTCAAACAGGGCTTTGACATTTACAGGGACAGTTCCATAATATTTGGGTGTGACTGGAAGATTGCTGTTCCATAGCCAAGTTGAAACAGTTTGAGAAAAATAGAATTTCACAAACTGCCTAAGGATATAATTATTTAAAAACTGTCATATTGTTTTCCTAAGTATGCACAGATTTTTAAGGGTTAAAGAGAAAAGATTTATTTACTTTTATTTTATGTATAAGGGTCTTTGTGAAAAGTTAGATTTTCACATTCTTTTATTTATTTATTTATATTTCTATTTTTAAAACAATATTATTTTACATACCAATTCCAATTGCCTCTTCCTCCTATCATCCCATTGCCCCCACCAAATCCCAACCCCACCTCCCATCCACTCCTTAGAGAGGGTGAGGCCTCTCATAGGGAATCATCAGTCTGTCACATCATCTGGGGCAGGACCAAGGCCCTCCTCTCCCCCCTCCCCCCCTATTTAGGCTGAGAGATTAGCCCTGCATAGGGAATGGCCTCCAAGAGCCTGTTCACGCACTAGGGACAGTCCACTGCCAGCGGTCCCATAAACCGCCCAAGTCCTCCAACTGATACCCACATTCAGGGGGCCCAGTTCAGTCTCATACAGGTTCCCCAGCTGTCAGTCTGGAGTCAGTGAGCTCCCACTTGCTCTGGTCAGCTGTTTCTGCGGGTTTCCCCAGCATGGTCTTGACCCTTTTGTTCCTATTATGGCTCCTCCCTCTCTGCAACTAGGCTCAAGGAGTTCGGCTCAGTGTTTAACGTGGGTGTCTGTTTCTGCTTCCATCAGCTACTGGATGAAGGCTCTAGGATGGCATTTAAGGTAGTCATCAAGCTCATTATAGGGCAAGGACATTTAAGGTAGCCTCTCCACTATTGCTTAGATTTTTAGTTGGGGTCATCCTTGTGGATTCCTGGAAATTTCCCTAGTGCCAGGTTTCCCCTTAAGTCCATAATGGCTCCCTCTATCAAGGTGTTTCTTTCCTTGCTCTCCTTCTCCGTTCTTCCCCTACCCTGACCTTCCTGATCCCTCATGTTCTCCTCCCCCATCCCCTGTATGTGGGCCTTTTGCGCGCGCGCGCGCGCGTGCGTGCGTGCGTGTGTGTGTGTGTGTGTGTGTGTGTGTGTGTGTGTGTGTGTGTAGACTCTAGTTGTGAGCTTCCATGTAGGTGATGGGAACTGAACCCAAGTCCTCTGCAAGAGCAACACATGCTCTTAACCACTGAACCCTTGTTTAAAACTTCTGAGAAATGACCTTAATCTTTCAATTTGAGGTAGGTGGCCTGTCAGCAGCCTGCCACTCTGGAGCGACTCAGTGGGAAGCCATCATCATACAGGTTATGCTTTTCAAAGTCCCTTGTCAAATGCCTCCAGTATTTGCAATGACCACAGTTTACATAGGAAAAATGTATTATAAAAATTAAATAAAAAACAGCAAAAAATTAAATTCAAGAATAACTAGTGGTTTTATTGCAAATAAATTAGGCTTAAACAATGGTTTTATTATTACAAAAAAGGAAAGATTAGAAAGATTCCCTTAAGATTGCATAAAACAAGTGAAACCGATGGAAGAGACTGTGTTAGGATGAGGGACCTGATTTTTATTGGATGAGTTAATTAGAACAGGCAAAAGGGGGCTTTGATTGCTGGACTTCAGTACTTTGATAGCTGGACCTTGGTAGTCAGCCTCAGGTGGAAGTAGCCAAATACAGGAACAGACTTGGTGGCCAGCTTATCACTAAAATGGCTTTATTCACAAAAATAATCCATAGATTCAATGCAATCCCCATCAAATAAGCAGTAAGAATCTATATAAGATGAGAAAAAAGCAATTATAGAATTTATTTTGAAGCACAAAGATATCAAATAGCCAAAGCAATCACACATAAAAAGATTAATGTTGATAGTTTCACAATAGCAGATTTCAAAATATGCCACAGAGCTGCAGTAACAAAATCAGCATGGTGTTGGCCTTAAGATATACCCATTGGGCTAGAAGAGACCATTCAAATACAAATGTCATGCACAACCAACTGATTTCATGATAAAGGTACCAGTTAACTTTTAGTTATTGCAGTAAGTTAGGAGGCATGGATAAAAGATATACAGGTTGAGAAAGAAGACACAATTATTTTTGTATTTGTAGATACTATGATTATGTAGATAATCCTGTGAACCAGCATAGCATGTGTGTTAGTATATACAGCAAATTAATGGAACACAAGAAAGCAATCATATTTCTACATAACAATAATGGCCATACAAAGACCAAGATTAAAAATACAATGCAATTATGTCAGAGTGTATAATACTGCATAAAAGCTTAATAAAATATGTAGGATATATATGCTAAGAATTATTGTGTGCTGATAAAGAAGTTAAGGAAGATATATAAGCAAATGCAGACATTTTGTTTATCATTTTCATGAGCATGTCATAATTAGAGTTTAGAAAACAACATTATACAGATGTTAGATTTCTCCAGATTTATCACAAGGTTAATGGCATTTCTATCAGAATCTCTTTGTGGATATTGATAGGCATTTTCTTTTTTTTCATTTTCCAGCATAGTATTCTTATTGATTCTCTGGGAATTTCACATCAGGCACACCCATCACACTTACTTCCCAGTTCTTCCGTGTCTGCTTCCTCCCACCCTTGTGACTTGTCCCCCCACCTGAAAATAGGAATAAAAAAGTCTAATTTATGTTACCTATATACTCACCACAGCATGGTCAAACTCAGTGGACTGACCCTTGATTAGGACTGAGTCCTCCCCCTGCACCTGCCAGGAGCCATCAGTTGTGAACAGCTGCGCTCTCCATCACAGGTTTCAAGAGTTCTCTTGGATGGCTTCCTGTCTAGGCTGTTGCCTGTTTTTCTGGGACGGAGGCTTGGGGTGGGGGTCAGGGTGGTCCCAGAAGCCTCACATGTCCCTCCTCCTCAGCTGTGCCTCAGCAGTTGATATCACAGCAAAAGTAGCCCCCATGCTCTCCAGCGTCAGTGGAGCATGGACCATGAACCTTCACACCGTTTCTGGTGAGAGCACAGACCATGAATGTGGCCCCAACTGCAGTAGGCCCATGGGCCCAGACAAGACCCTCAGAGTCTGCCTGGACCACAGCCACCAATGTGGCCTCAGGTGGCAGTGCAGCCCGCCCACATCATGGCCCCTGGCAGCAGCATGCCCTTGGGCATCAAAGTGGCTTCAGGTGGCAGCACAAACAATGGACATCGGCATGGTCTTTGGTGGTGAGATGAGCCATGGACATCAACACAGACCCTGGTCACAGTAGAACCTCAGAACCAGACATGTCCCTTGGTGGCAGCGTCGGCCTGGATATCACCATATCTTCAGGCTTCTGTTTAAGTCCATTGTTAAATTCCTTCATTAATGAGACTAAGCATTCCAAGAGGAGAGCCAAATTTCCTTATGAATATATATGATGACTCTGGCGGGACTCCCAACATTTTCTACTTGTTACGGTCTAGGAAGTGCATGTGCCCAGAGATAACAGTCTTGTAGGAAGTTCATGTGACCAGAAATGACAGTCTTGTAGGAAGTACATGTGCCCAGAAATAACAGTCTTGGCTCAGCCCAAGCTGGACTATAGAGGATTTCTGGAGGCTAGATAGAAGCAGACATTTTTCAGGAACTTTCAAAATGGGTTCTCATCTACCAAAAGGAGTATTTCCCTTGTGTCTGGCAGAAGGGAATATGGCTCTCAATGCTCGTGTACCTGTGGTTGCGCAGCAGAGCCCACACTGGCTTCCAGCTCCTTTCTGTTATGGCTACAGGCCTATGAGGGCCACCTTTGTGGTGGTTTGAATAGGTATGGCCCCATAGACTCATGTGTGTGAATGCTTGGCCCGTAGGTAGTGGCACTATTAGGAGGTGTGGCCTTGTTGGAGTAGGTGTGGCCTTGTTGGAGGAAGTGGGTCACCATGGGGGTGGGCTTTGAGGTCTCATATGCTCAAGCTTCACTCAGTGTGACATAGTCTCCTTCTGCTGTCTGTGGATCAGGATGCAGAACCCTCAGCTCCTTCTCCAGCACCATGTTGGCTTGCAGGCTGCCATGGTGATAATGGACTAAATCTCTGAAACTGTTAAGCCAGCCCCAATTAAACATTTCCTTTGGAAGTGCTGCCATGGTTGTGATGTCTCTTTATACCAATAGAAACCCTAACTAAGACAAGCCCCTATTCACAAGTACTTGCTATACATTTCAAAGCCCACACTAGCATCCTTGGCCCCTCTACCCTCCCCCATTCCTCCTCCGCTATGCTAGCCCCCAGAATGTTCCAGATTCCTGCTCTCTTTATAACAGCAAGGTTTCTCCCGCTGCCCAATGATTCTTGCTATCCTCCCTTCTCTCACAGATAGCCCCCGAAAAGTTCAGTTTCCTCCTTTCTCTCTCTGCTGTGGTCTCTTCCAGATGCCTCAGGATGTCCTCTCTCTCTTACAATCAAAACCTTCGTACTAACCACGGATCAGACATCTTGGTGGTTTCTTGAGCGGATCCTTGCACAATCAGTAACAGTTCTTTTAATAAAGCTCTCTGTCAGGAGAAAAGAGCAGAACGGAGGTGTCCCATGGACTTTTAGTTTCCCCAGGAGCACTCTGCAAGGGCCAGGAGGCCATGCTTATCTCACTGGCTAGTTTGTATTGGCTCAAACAATAGTCAGCTTCTAAATGTATGATTTGAGAATTAACCGAACATGTGGGCTCATGGCTGAAAAAGTCCACTGGACTTCAGACAAACAATGCCTGTCTAGGTTTTCACAACCTTTCTTGCTGAAATGCTCGGTTATTTAAATTCTCTGTGACACAGTTTTTTTCCACCTGTTTTTAAAATGGAGGCTATACAGTGTGAGGCATAAACAAGTCACCATGTCTCATACACTTCAGCAGCTTTCATTGCGCAAACTACGTAGTCGTTCACTGATTATTCACAGCTGCTGCAGATTTGCGTGGTTCTGAGCCGTGCAAATTACTCAACCTGAAGATGAGAAGCAACGCAAGTGTTTTAAAAATTAAATGGCCTGGTATCTAATCTAACGTGGGAGCAATATATCAAGGGATGAAACTGCATTACATAATCACTTGCCCTCTAGCAGACATCCAAGTCGAGACTTGGAGGGAGGGCCCTGGAGAGACTCAGAGACAGCAGCCTTGCTCTGTGCTTCAATGTGGCTCATTTCCAGTTGATGGGGACTCTTTCACGGAATGCATGCCTGCATGTGGTTTCCATGTTTCACTCCTGCATCTTCTTCATCAGCCTGCCCTCATCTCAGACTGAAAAGCCACCTTATAGTAAAGACAAACTAGGTTCCTTTCCTGTTTAGATTAAACCTCTGATTCTCAAGGATTGGGCTATGCCCCACCTGCAACCTTAGCTACAAATGGCTCTGTACTGCCTGTTCCAGGAAATGGTAACCATGTCTTTGTTTCAAGAAGTTGTGTATAACCATCTCACAACCTCACATTCATTTCAGAAGATTTCTTTTTTTTTCTTTTCACTTGTGTTCTTTATATTTTTTATTTTCTTTTTTTGCAGATTTTTTATTTGAATTAGAAACAAGATTGTTTTACATGTCAATCCCAGTTCCCTCTCCCTCCCCTCCTCCCCTCCCACCTTCCCCCCAACGAAACCCTCCCTATCACATATCCTTTCTGCTCCCCCTGGATGGTGAGGCCTTCCATAGGGTGTCATCAGAGTCTATCGTATCCTTTGGGGTAGGGCCTAGGTCCACCCCCGTGTGTCTTGGCTCAGGGAGTATTCCTCTATGTGGATTGGGCCCCCAAAGTCTACACCTATGCTCGGGATCAGTACTGAACTACTACAGGACGTCCTGTAGACTTCTGAGGTTTCTTCACTGAAGCCCATGTTCCTGGGGTCTGGATCAGTCCCATGCTGGTATCCCAGCTATCTATGACCACCTGTTGTCACAACTCCCTTGTTATGACCACCTTGTAATCATGTCTGTGTTTCGGGCGGTCGTTTTGCCTAACTCGCTATGCTTCTGCTCTGCTCCTGTAACTGCACCTATTTTGCACACCAACTCCCTCATTTGGAAGCCCCCTACCCCTGATGACAAAATCCTTGTCTTTCTCACATCTGATGCTGACCTCTTGAACCCCACTTTTGGGGGAGACAGCCTATGTACACAAATAAAAAAGGCTTGCTTTAATCAATTGCTTCAATTAGTTTGGTCATGCTGGTTTGGGTCAGGGGTCTTTCTTCTTGAATCTTCGGGATTAACAGACACACACATTATCCCATGGGGTTAATTATTCCTGCAATTTCTCCAGCATGGCTTGTGGTGAACTTGCCTTCCTGAGAAGTTGTCCTGTCCTTGACCAGATGATTGGCCATCCCACCTACATCTAATTTTAAGGGATGAGGCAATGGTATGCCACCGCTCAGAGGTAGATTCTTTTGGTTGGAAAGCAACAGTTTCCCCTAAGTTTGCCTTCAGTGCCACCGTAGCAGTATTGTGAGAAGCTCCCTACCTCCCTCTTGGCCATTTTGTTCCTCGTTTAGTGAAATAATTAAGGCCTGATCAGTTAAGTAGTATGATTCCTGAACATCACCCAATTCCAGATTGTGTGTACAGTCTTTCCTTTTATCTGTTTCTAACTTAATTTTGGAAGCACTTTTCTGGAAGTATACAGAGTACTATGTAAAACAACAACAACAAACAACAACAAAACCAAACAACAGTTTGATACATATGAGCTACAAATAAAATTTTTTAAAAAATAATTTATTTTTGTTTTGTGTGTATTGGTGCTTTGCCTGCATGTATGTCTGTGTGAGGGTGTCAGATCTCTGGAGCTGGAGTTACAGACAGTTGTGAGCTGCCATGAGGGTGCTGGGAATTGAACCTGGGTCCTTGGGAAGAGCAGTCTGTGCTCTTAATCATTGAGCTCTTAATCATTAATCATCTCTCCAGCCCACAAATAAAAATTTTGTGTTGTGTTTCCATATAAGTATGAAAATACAAAAGAAGATAATTCCCATGTTGCTTTTGTCTCATAGGCAGATAGAGGTGTCCAGGGAATGAGAGACCACGTAGAAAGAAGAGTGTAGAAGAAGCAAAGGTCAGGGAAGGGAGGGCAGGAGAGAAAGGTCCTTTAAAAGCAGCAATCCATGAGGGAGGCAAGTCCTGAGCTGCCAGACTACAGAGGGCAAATGTAGACGACATAGAGGAGCCCCCAGAGTCCTGAGAGATAGGGAAAGAGATCATTTTCAATTAAAAAAGGCCTTTAGAATATTAGAAATGAAATCTTAAACTGTTCTTTCTCCAGGTGTAGTAGTAACTAAGGACACCCTCTGGGTCCTAACATTGACTATGAAACTAGAGTATAATACAATATGCGTATGCTTTATTTTTCCTTTCACCATAATCACCAATCCTTTTTGAAATCCTAGACAACCCCCCCCCCCCCCCACCCCAAACTGGCTTTTTAGCCTTCATCTTTGATTTTGGGAGCTTGGGCCTGTAAGAGCAACATTGGACATACTGCTGTATTACATGGTCTGTAGATTTTCACTTCCTGTCCTTTAAGTTCTTTTTAAAAAAGATTTTATTTATTTATTATGTATACAACATTCTGCTTCCATGTATATCTGCACACCAGAAGAGGGCACCAGATCTCATTACGGATGGTTGTGAGCCACCGGGTGGTTGCTGGGAATTGAACTTAGGACCTCTGGAAGAGCAGCCGGTGCTCTTAACCTCTGAGCCATCTCTCCAGCCCCCCCTTTTTTGTCCTATAAGTTATTGAAGTCAACTGCCGGAAGAGACCACTTGCGCATGCATGGCAAACACTTTATTTTCATGTGGATGTCTAAGAGGTTGGTGTTCATGAGATTTTAGAAAAGTTTCTAGACACCAATAACTCTTCATGAAATTAATTTTAATAATGAAGGTTTCTGGTACAGATAAGAGCGCTGGCTGAGATTCAGTGATTCCTTGAGAGTGAAGTGGATTTGTGGAGAGAGCATCCTAGCGTCACATTCCTGTAATAGCATTTATTTTACTTATTTCCTTAGTAGTGCTGGCTGAAGCATTTGGGACTTGGCCAGACCCACCTACTTTGCTGTATTTTAATAAAGATCTCCGTTAATATTTGGCATCACTGTTAAAGTATTTGGCTTCTCTCACATGCAAAATTGATGGTAATTGTTGCTGTTATTTTTCGGGGCTCCCTGATTTAGCAACTTACACAGAATACAGTCTACTTGCTTTTAGAATTCACGCCCCCCCCCATATTTTCATATGAAATATCGTGTATTATATGTTTCTGCAGATATTCCACTTTCTGGAGCTTATGTTAAACTGCCCATTTTTAGCTATAGAAGTATTTTTTTGGTCACAGAAGTAAGAGTTTGCAGTGTTTCCTGTGTGACATAATGAAGTTTTTATTATTATTATTATTTTTTTATGTGAGGGTATGGGGGTCTCAGTGCAGCACATTATGAAAGGCAGAATATTCTCCATCATTCCCCAGTTCTGGTTTCAAGCTGGTTTGGTTAAAAGCCATAGGAAGAAATATGTAACACACGGTGATCTACACATCCATAATAGACAGAATCCAATATACCGAAATAAAGGGAATTATGAAATACAGCATGGCATTTTCTCCCCTTGTGTATTTTATTTTTATATAAACCATCAGTTCATTTCATGAGTTATTTAAGGACTACGCTCTACAATTTGGAAAACAATGTTGCTCTGAAGTCTACAGAATGGAACGTGTGGGCCGTTTGGAAATGTGTGGACAGGATTTATTCAAGCTCTCCTTTTGGCTGAGCTGGTGTTTCAATCTTGACATAAACGTTTTAAAGTTATTTCAGAAACACATAATGCCAACCGAGTTTGAAATTGTTTTATCAAAAAGTAAATGTAATAATAAAGTGGTTTATCTTTCTCTATGGTTTTTAAGCATTTATTGGTGCGACACAAAAATGCTTTTCTCTTTTTTCTCTTGACAGATTGGCTATTTGATCTTCTTACGACTCTTTGTATTTTTCCTGCACGGTCACTTAGAAAGTTTTAAACAACATTTACTTAGGCTGCAACCATATTTATACGGTAGAATATTTTTTTATCTTTATGCTTATAAATGTTTTATGCTACATTTTAAGATGACTGTCACTATAAAGAGCATAAGCTGTTTCATGTTTCATGAAAAGTAATACCTGCAACGATGGCTCCTGGGCTGGGCAGTCTTTCTTCAGTGTTTGTTTTCCTTCAGAAACTCAGAATGTCTTGTGACAGCATTTAAAAGCCCAGCATCTTTGCAATCCGAATGTAATGCACAGTTCATCCTTATGAACTGTTGTCACCATCACCACCTGTGCCGTAGATGTCCAGGGTCTAACCTTGACTGCAGCCTCGTATTCTTTGACCATCACCTGGCTTTTCCCTTTCTTCTGCCCATCCTCATCCAGCCTTCAGTGAGAAGTTATTTATTTTCTTCCCAAGTGTGTGGTGGTGACCGAGACTCAGTCTCCTCACTTGTAACAATAACTATAAAGCAATGAAGTTCCCTAGAGGAGGTCTGCTGGACTGTAGATGCTGGACTGGAATAGCGAGAGAGAGGGCTCTGGGCCATCTCAGTCTGGTGGTGCAGCAGAATGTTGTGGCACTGAAGGAAAAGGCTTGTGGATTCAAGATACCTTTATTCTGATAAATACCAGCCAAACACAAGCCAGAGCGTGCCCAGGGGCAGCAAGGCAGGGAGGCCAGAGAGAAGGGGCAGTTGGAGGGAAAGAGACTGTGCTCAAGGTTGCTTAAGAGCCCATGCCTCGTCACTCTGACCTCACCTTGACCATGCCTTGACAGGCATGGCCAGGCACACCTGTAGCCAGTCCTTAGGAGGTGTGGTTACATAGCACTATGTAGGATCCTTTAAATTGCTCTGAATGGTACTACGAGGAAGAAAGACCACTTGCCCTGCCATTCAGCAATTATGATATGCATCCAGTTATACACTCCAAAGAAGGGATTGTGGAGAAATGGGCATTGAAAATGTAAATGATTGCAATGGGAATGTCGTAAGGCAAAGTAGTTGACTTTAGTTAATTGGTTCTAGGTTGATGTATAAGGAGGTGAGGGGTCAGGAGGGAGTTGATGCTTTTGTAATGACTAATATGGTCAAGATTTGGAAAAATGTGACAGCAAACTAGACCATCACAGAAAAAGTGAAGAGTAGGAGAATATAGGCGATATAGTTAAGAACACCCGAGGGTGTCCTGGGATGTCACGACCCATATAAAAGCCCCCTGAATCCATTTAATGTTGCTCATATGTAAATGTAAGTAGGGATGACCACTTGAGACTGGATAATCTCCTGGGGAGCTCATCCCTGGAGAAAACCAAATAGTAACCACATATATGCATTAGCATGTACCACATACAAAAAATAGTTATATATCATAATATATAATATTAAACCATATACACATTTTAATTAAACATTTCAAGAATTTCATAGGTGAATACCACACTTAAATCATTTCCACCTCTTCTTTCCCTCTCTAATTCTTCAGACCTCTTTCCAAACTCATGACCTCTTCTTTAACTGCATCCATGTACCTATGCATCTGTGAACGGAGCATGCTGAATCCATTTAGTGTTGCTCATGTGTGTAAGTGTTTCCGCCTGGTCACTGGGGAAATCTCACAAGGCTCCACCCCTACACGAGGAGACACCTGTGGTTAATGGCTGCCGAGAGAGGGAGAATATATTATTTAATCGTGCATCACAACTGTCAGACAAAGCTGCCCCAAATTATAAAAACTCTAATGTGATTTATTTATGGTGTAGTTTGCTTCCTCACCACCAGAGGACACACATACCATTACAAATTTTAGCTAGTTAGGGCGTCCAGGTACTGAATATAATTAATGCTTTCATAACTAAAAGATGAATGGAACACAATGCAAGGCAGTAATACATGTATTTCTCACCAATGATTTTCCTCCCAACAGCACTTTATTTTTCTGAAGTATCCTACCACAAGTATCCAAACGTCTTCTCAAACGTGCAGTTCATTCTGAAAGTGTCGGAAATTATATGTAAAAAAGAACTCCATTCTGAAACAGTCGTGGGAAATACAGGTGGAATAGAGGGCGTGTTTTCTGACTTGGTAGGTAACCAGATGCAGTGGATTTGCCCTGTCGAATAGCTATAAGGTAAAATTGCTATGGTTATATGCTCATGCTCGTCAGTCCAGCATGCATGCACTGTTGACGCTGAACTCAGCGGTGTGTGTGTGTGTGTGTGGTGGGGGAGGGAGAGGGTGACTAGCACATACTCTTGCTTATGCACAAATCTGGCTTCATAGATTACTAGATAAGGAATGGGCCCGCCACGTGATCTGTTATTCCTTTGAGAAGCACAATGGCATGACATCTCTTCCACATGGGTCCCATCTCAGTCACTCAGAGACAAATAATAGAGTAGCTTAGGTTCCTAAGTTAACATTTTAGCATATTCTAGTTCGTTAAGGGGAGGGATGTAAAGTGTCGACTGGCTACGGAACACATGTGCTATGTCATGTTCTTCCTGAAATAACATTTAATATGCCATTAATGCCAACCTAAACCTTCTTCCCAAAGTTCTCAAACTGTCCAGGCGTGGTGGTGCACGCCTTTAGTCACAAGGGAAGCAGAAGCAGGCAGACCTCTGTGAGTTCAAGGCCAGCCTTGTCTAGTCAGTTTAAGGCCAGCCAAAGCTACACAGTGAGATCCTCCCCACTCCAAAAAAGTTCAAATTGAGAGATTAAAATAATTCTAGTACAAAAGTTAAACTTTATAGTTATGTTATTAATAATCAATTTACACGATAAGCAATAATTATGCAAATACAAGTTCAATGAGCCATGTAATTGTGTATAGGACAGATATTTCCCAAAGGGCAAACTTCATTCTCTTTGGTAATAATCTCTCTACTTCCTTTACTCAAATATTTTCTGAAAAATAATGTAAGAACTGCGAGACAGGGTTTTTTCTCATTATTCTAATCTTTATAACTTATAAATGGAAAATTTATTCTTTTTAACTTCCCCCAAATATTCATGTCTTTTGCTCGTGTGTGTGGTGTGCCTGGTGTGTTTATTCTCCTTTGCATGTGTGTGGGGTGCATATGAGCATGTGTGCATGCATGTTTGTTTATGTGGCTGTGGAGGCCAGAGGCAGAAGTGGGAACCTTCTTTGATTGCTCTGGATTCTCTTGGCATATTCAGTCTTTCTCTGAACCCGGGATGGTCCATTCCACGTAGCTAGACTATCTACCCAGCTTGCTCTGAGATCCCTTCTCCAATTCCAGAGAGCTGCCGTTGTAGGTGGGATGTTCAAGCAGCCCAGATTTTGTGTGTGTTCTGTGGATTCACACTCTGGTTCTCACGCTTGTGCAGCAAGCCCTTCACCCACTGGACCCTCTCCCCAGCCTGGGAAGATTCCTTTAACCTAATGTAAGTTCTAATGATAAGGGCACATGTAAAAATTCCTTTTAAAAATAGCTTTATTTATGTGTGACCTCATAGTCTTCCCACACTCCCTTTAGTGCCTTTCAAACATTAACTAAATTTAACAGATGAGAAAATGCATTTTATTATGTACGTTTGTCATTTTTAAGCCTTAAGTATTTGTCTCTTGGCTCATTGGTGATAAACCATCTATATAAAGAGAGATGTTTGCTAAGTAATTTGAACCATTTGGTTATAATTAGGAATGAACACAGATTGTGCCACGGAAAGAGAGGCACTTGTCTTTAAGTTTAAGACGTGTTTTGACCTGCTTGACCACTGCCTGTGTGATGTAGGTGTCTGTTTAGCTTTTCTAGACAACCATTTGCTCATTGTAAAGAAGAAAAGCTCTGTTCATTTTCGTGATCATCACCATCATCATCACCGTTATCACTATGATGGCCGCCATCAGAGCTGCCTGAATGGAATAAATAAAATTGTGCTTTGTGAAGGAAAAGGCATAAAAACACGGGCATCAAGCACTGAAAATATATTGAAGGAGTCACTTTAGCCTAGGCAGTTGGCTTCAGCCTAGGCCGTTCACAATGACTTCCAGCGATCTCAGTGTTGTATGTCTTGAATCTGGTGCTGTGCGATCTGCATGCTACACAGATGCTTTGGCTCAGGGGAGGCCACTGCTAGTTTCCATGCTGGTGCTCTTGAAGAACACATCTGTTTACCTTCGGAAGTTGCAGAGGCGTGCTGCTAGAAGGGGCAAAGCTGACAGACAGCTCGTGGAAGGAATGTGTCTGCCCAGAGTGACATGCGCAGTCACTCGGTCTCTTTGTAGCGTTTCTACTTTGTAGAACAAAAGACCTAAATTCTATTTCAGCTCCATCCGTGTGATTCTCTGAGGGGACTATAACACATTTGGGGCTGTCAGGTTTATTGCCTTTCTTTTTCTTCTCCAATTACTTCATAATATAAAGACTATAAAGGATAGTGGAGGCACAGCGCTCCTAAATCATGGCTGGTCTAATCAGCACTGATTCATGGTGTGATTGCAAGCCCTAAAGTTCCCTAGTTTCCACCCAATTTCTCCAGTGTGGTATTTCTAAGCCAGCCTCTCCAGTTCAGTTGAGCATCTGCCCATCCAATACCCATTTCGTTCCTTACTTTGGGGAATGAGAGAGGAAAAAAAGAGGCAATAGAATGTACAATGTACAGTACTGGTCATTTTCCCTCCTGTGCTTACTGGTGCTATATTACAGTTCAGGATTTATTCATCTATCCATCATCTCTTCTGATTATACTAAAAGGTCTGTCCACAGCCTATGTTGGCCATTGTAAAATATTTTATGTTTTAATGCTTGTAGAAATGGAGTAAAAGCTGTTCTTGGATTTGTTCGGCAATGAATGCTAGAACTGCTTTAAAAAATCCTGTAGAATTTACATACTATAAAATACACAATATAGATTTTGGTTTTATCTATAAATAGAAAACTTTCTTTCCTTGCTACCAGACACAGTTTCTTCTTCTAATGTTCTTTTAAGTGATCCAGACCCATAGTTCCCACCAACTTTGACAAGCGGTACACTTTTATTAGCTTTGCCATCTTGGAGCCCCACTTGCAGCATTGAATTTCTGTCCTGTGCTCAGTGGCAGAGCTGAATTTTCTAAGCACAGTTGTTGAATTGTAATAGCATAGTTCTTTGGACTTTAAACTCAGTTAAAATAGAGCAGACCCTTTATTAGATGGCATAATCTAAAGTACAAATAGTTCCCTGAAAAGTAGCAGATTCACCAATTTGATATTCTGACGTGATCAGCAGTCTTCACATACTCAGTAAGGATGTGACCTAAATCTGAGTCACTCTGCTGTTTCATGAGCGTAAATGATGCTAACAGCACCTTCGTAATGAGACACACACTTTTTAAAATTGGGAGCATTAGCCAGTGATTCATGTTAGTATTTGCTTGACACATTTGTATTAAGAGGTCTTTTCAGCTGGCATTGGTGGCACACGCCTTTAATCCCAGTACTCGGGAGGCAGAGGCAGGCGGATCTCTGTGAGTTTGAGGCCAGCTTGGTCTGCAGAGTGAGTTCCAGGATAGGCTCCAAAGCCACAGAGAAACCGTGTCTCGACAACAAAAAAGAGGTCTTTTCATGGCAATGTCACTGTCCCCTAAAATGACTGAAAACAGGATGAAACCCAAAGTGTCTCATCTGAGCAGCCACAACAGAGCTCACACCTCCCATCTCATCTCAGTTGTAAAGAACCCATCAGTTACTAAGAGGTAATGTTCTATAGTCTACAAATGCCATGCTGTACAAGCCGCAGGCGACAGTCCAAAGCTGGGCAGGAATGAAGGGAGATGGAGAAATCACCCAAAGTAGTAAAAGAAAAGAGAAAAAAAAAGAAAAAAGAAGGAAGGTAGGCAGGCAAGCAGAAAGGGCTGTGTCTGTGTACATGCTCGTGTGTGTGCAGGGGTATGTGTGGGTGGAAGCCGGGGATCAGCACCTTGCATCTTCTTGCCTCTGTTTACCCTGTAGCTGAGGTGGTGAACACTATTGTGCCCAGCCTTGTTGACTGCTGAGGATCTGAACTCAATATCTGAACAAAGGTAGCTTAAGTTTGCCATCCCCCTGCTTCAGCCTCTCTTGTTGTGGGGTCACGAGCTTTGGCCATACAGCTTACCTCCTAATGTTTTATTTACCATGTATTAGTACAAATGCACACACACACACACACACACACACACACACACACACACACACACACACATATATACGTATAAATATATGTGATATATCTTATATATTTATATCTGATATAAATATACATGTTTACCTAACTTAATAGTCTTTGTAGCTACATAGTATCTATGATCTAGGAAAGTATTGCTTTAATTTAATTGGCTGGGCCATTTCAAAGTTTCAAAACAGATCTCTATCTCTGTTTATGTGGACTTGAAACCCAAGGACTGTCAGACATGTGGCTAAGACACCTGGGGCCATTGAGACAATTTCATTTATATGGCTTTTACTTTTTGAACAGGCTCCAGCACAAAGCAGAAAATTGAGTTATGTGTGCATTTCCCAAAGTCAGCATGTCTCAGTTCAATCAATGCCTTGCATTATCTCAGAAGACAACTTCCCTGTGGAATATTGCAATGCTCCAAACATGGCTTTGGACTTGGTTTCTTTTCTGAATTACCACTCCCAGGGCCAGCAAGCTTCTGCAGACCTTGACTCCAGCCGTTCTCTCTAGTATCTAACTATCCCTAACACGAAAAGAATAGATACACTTCCAAAGAACATAACTAAACAGCTTACTAGAAACTTGAGAGGCTTTAATTTGAAATTTTATCTGAACCTCTAGCTTTTAAAGAGGACTCAACATGAAGACTGCCTTTAAGTTTAGCTATGATATTTTATATAATAGCCGAAGACAATGGAGTCCTTTAGATTTAAAGCATATCTTAGCACTATGGACTATGAACTGCTTGCGATCTGAGTACATAGAAGAGGGTGTTACCTTGAAAAAATCCAAAAAACCAAAAACCAAAAAACCCAAAGTGGTGAGAGTGCTATGTTTTCCTGGAATGCCAATCACTGTAGCAGAGCAATTATGTAATGAACCTGGCAGGGAACACTTGGAGAAAACAAACAAAAGCTTCCTTGCATCTGAATTGGTAGTCTTTTAAAAGCAGTTGCTCAACAGACACTGGCAGTGTCTGTAAGACTTGTGTTTGGTTGTTAATGAGGAAGAAACCCACCCCTCAGAGCCCAGCTTGTCACTAGATCTTTCTTTAAATTTTCCCTTTTGCCTTTTGATCAGCTGTTATGAAGAAGGGAGACACACAGGCTCTGGGAATCATGCATCCAATAGTGTCCCTTCAGAGGATCTGGGAATTGTAACACATGGATTTGTGTAAAAAATATAAACTTATATAATAAGTATACATCTTTAGCATAACAAGCTTGTGTCAACTATGCATACCCAATAGAAATATTTATAGATGATTCCACTTCGTAAAACATGAGGTATAAGTGAATATTCATTTTGATTTTTATATTTAAAATGTATTTTCAAGTCTGTGTGGGTTAAAGAATGCCTTGGCAGATCTGTCTCCATGTTGTCATTTCAGGAGCACATGGCGCTGGATCAAGGGGGCTATGAAGTCAACCAGCTGCTCTGGCACTGCGTGGCTGCCTGGTCTTGTGTTCAGAACAATAGTCCTCAGCTGAATGAAGTGCTTGAACATCTCCTCTTCCACAAGACGAAGCTTCAAACAAAATGCTGGTAAGGGCAATTCCATAAATCCAGAGTGACTCAGAGAGACCTTTGTACTGAAATGTTAATCACGGCTCAGTTGACTCTGAATACACTTTATAGTTTCAGTTCCAAAGACAAAGGCGATGTACAATATTTTATATTGGTGGTATCAGCCAACTGTTGCAGTCTCTGTTGTCTTCTTTTGCTGGATGCTCGGTGTAGTTTGTCTCTATTAGATGAAATGTTACCGATAAGAAATTCAATCCATGTTTAAGACATTTTCTTCTCATGTTGTTAGCTCCTAGCAATGAATCATCTGTTATATATTTGAAAGGAATGTACTGATACTATTTTCTCTGGGCCTTTCAAAGAGATATACAAGAAAATTGAATTTCAGGAAGGCTTAGCTTCTTCTAGTCCATGTGTTAATTTAAGAAGGGACATAGATGTCCCACAAAAGCAGACTGAGTACAGTGGAAGGAAGGCTGTAGTTTTTATAGACTGACCACTAATAATGATCTATATTTGTGAAGTTCAATGGGTTGTGTGTGTGTTTCTGTGTATTCCATGTATACATACACCACATTTAAAATACATTCATCTCTTGGGTAATGATGGTGCACACCTTTGATCTCAGGACTCAGGAAGCAGAGGCAGGTGGATCTCTGAGTTCAAAGCCAGCCTGGTCTACAGAGTGAGTTCCAGAATAGCCAGGGCTCTACACAGAGAAAAACTGTCTTGAAAAGCCAAAAACCAAAAACCAAACCAAACAAAAAAGTCAAAACCAAAACAAAAAACCAGAAAAACCAAAGAAGAAGTCAAGTCAGGCCTTTGTCTTTCAAATTGGGTTATTGATTTGCTTGATCTTTAATTATTTGTGTTCCTTATATATTTTAGATATTAATTCATCAGATGCATAATTTTCCTTCACATATGAGTTCTTTCTGTCTTTCCCCCCTTCCTTCCCATTTCCCTCTTCCTCTCTTTTTTCTTCTGTTTTTCTTTGACAAAGTCCCCTGTAGCTCAGTTTAGCTCTGTCTAGGCTGGCCTTGATCCTGTGGTTGACTAGAGACTAGAACATGATCCTTAGTGTCCTAGTAGAGGGTGTTCCCCAGGGCATCGCTGCACTGTCACTGGTAACTGCCCTGGTCATCTGAATCTTTATTTCTTTTCCTGGGTGGATGTGATCATATAAGGTTGGAAAAGTCGTGCACAGTCTTGAAGAGAAGAGGGGTGAACTGATAAAGTTGTTATCAATGACTGCAAATAATAGAAGGGACACAGCAATTGTCTCAATATTGCCAAATCGTTTTGATACTGTTTCTTGAGTTTTTCATTTTAGGAAGGTAATCTTTTTTTTTTTTTTTTTTTTAAACAAAATTAGATTAAAGACTTGCTAGGACCGTTAAAATGGCTCCTCACTTGCCACTAAGCCTGAGGACCCGAGATCAATTCCTGGAACATGCATGGTAGAAGATGAGAATTAACTCTCACCTACACTCATGTGCCTTGTATACACACAACTAAATAAATTAAAGTTTATCTTTAAGAGATTGACTATTTTTAAAGCTTTCGTTAAATCTGTTCACAATAGCATCACAGTAAGTATGAAAATAACGTTTTGTAATTCAGTGTTTAGAGTACTTACATAACAACATACACAGATTCCACGAGGTCATCACTCCAGATAAAACAAAGCATGGTCTAATTATCAGAACAACACTAGAAATGGCTTCATGCCCTCTAGGGGGATTTTCCTGTTATCTTCATGGTGTCCTCTATGACACCCTTGAGGGTAAAGTGAAAACTGAGGAAGTAAACTATATTTAGAATAGAGATATTGACTGGATGCAGAGAAGTGGGCTCTGTCAAGATTTTCTTGATTGTGACATTTGAGGGAAGATACCTTTCAGCTCCCAAATACAACACTAGTGAGGAGTAAACAAAGAAATGTCAGTTCCCATGTGTGTCAGAGACAACACAATGATGAATAACATTGAGATATTTAAAGTAATGAAAGACAACTTGACCAAGATATCCAATGAATTTCATATACAGTGGCCAGATCTGTCCATAAAATAAGTAGTTCTCGGTTGTTCGTTCTGATTGGTTGGTCTGTAGCTAACTCATATATCTCCCCTGTGGCTTCTTATAACCCCATTTTAAGACTATCCACGACACAAAAGGAAACAGAAACCATCAGGGGTTTGTAAGTCTGAAAATGGACAGGGTCAGGATCCATGAGAGGACACACACACACACACACACACACACACACACACACACACTCATACTCCCATACTCAAATACACACACTCATACACTCACACCCCCCCTCCCCAACAACCATTATCATAATTAGAGCAGTCTTAATGGGGACGTTGCTGTCCCAAGAGGGAAGGCCGTCCTAAAGCCAGCACAGTATGAGTCACAAAGGAGACTGGGAGACTGGACACTGCAGGAGCCTGCAGATGCCACACAGTGGCCTTTGTTTCCCCAGAGCTAGAGACAGGCAGGTTTCTCCCTAACATGGCTGAATTTCATACCCTATCTCAGCGTCTCAGTGTTCTACCCGGTAGTCTTGACTTTCACAAAGTGCCCACTTACTTTGGTGAGACAGCTCAAACCAACTCCAAAGGCTTTCAAATCTAACATGAAAAAACTGTTTTTCTAATTGAGTTCTTGGTCCATTGAAGACTGCTGAGAAATGCAGCAAGACATTTCAACAGAACACCACCATAAAAATCTCATCACCCAAAGCAAAATAGCCAGTTTATTGTATCCCTTGTGTGTATTAAAAAAAAAAAAAGCTTGGTGATTTAAAACTGTATCAATGTGGCAAATGCTTATTGGACTTTAGAGTATTTGTGTTTGTATCAAAGTGAAGAAAGAACCAGCTGCTTGGGGAGAGAGACCCTGCATGCCCCAGCCAGACCACTGGCCACATTGTCTGTCTGCATCCCCAGCCCTGGTAACTCCAGCTTCCACGGGGAAGCCTCACTGGCAGCATTTAAACAAAAGTCGTGGTGCAGTCCCCTCCTCTCTCCAGAGTGGAGATGGATGACTGTGTGAGCGCTCAGGTTTCTGTTTCCCTGATTATTCTTGATTCACATCCCATTCTCCATAGCTCTATGGATCCTCCACACTGTAAGTATTTAGTCCGCTAGTGGGAGAAATACAAACCTGTGCGTCACTGCCTCGTCACTCAGTGAGGGAAACATTCACCTCCAGTCAGGAGACCTGCGTCTGGGAGCTCTTTCTAGCCGCCCCGCTTTCAATGAGTTCCTTAACACTGACCAACCAGTTTGTTGACCATTTAGAGGAAAAAGAACCATCCTTTTCACCATTTCTCCCACCCCTTCCCTCCCTCTAAACCTTCCCATGTAAACCATTCTCTCTTTCAAATCAGGACATCTTTAACTATTGCTGCATACGTGTGTGTGTGTGTGTGTGTGTGTGTGTGTACATAAGACATATATAATACATAGTATATATAAACACATCCCACTCAGTCTGTATAATGTTGCTTATGTGTATATTGTTCTGTCAATTCTCAAAAAGTTTCTGAGAGGTTTAAATAAGATATGTCTCCCCTACTTTATGTTCTTCTAACTCACATTTGAACTGATTTTCCTCAGTTAGCCTCTGGCGGCTGAGATTTTACTTCAGTGCACCTTCTCATAAGTTCCTCAAATTACTTTTCTTCTCCCCTCCAGCCCCCCCTTTTGAGACAGAGTCTCACCGTATGGTTTTATCTGGCTGGGAGTTAACTATGTAGACCAACCTGGCCTTGAACTCACGGAAATCTGCCTGCCTCTGCCTCTCCCCCTCCCCCCTTTCCTAACCTAGCGTCTGAATGGGCTGCAAATACATCTGTTGCAATTCACACCTGCTCCCTGGCTCTCTAGCCCCACTTTCACAGCCTTGTAAAGTTTTAGCTTGTATTGCGCGGTCATTTCCTAACTGGCCTCTTGGATGTCAATCTTCCCCTAGGAAACGTGTCTCATGCGATGTGCTGCCAGGGTTAGCACACTATTGCCATTGCACCCCTCTTCCGATTGACAGTGCTGCCTGAGGGATGGCTTTCCATGACACAGGAGCCCCAGACAGTGTCACACAACTTACACTGTATTGGAAAACCAATAAAAGCAGAAATGAAAGATCCCGTTGGCTGGATTCACTGCCATTAGCCACACAGACTGCCGAAAGTGGCTGTGGGAACGGACAGGGGAGGAGGACTCAGTGGTTGTGTGTCTGAGAAACAGTGGTCTTTGCTCTCTGACGGTGCTTCTGGTCTTCCCCAACGGCTTCCCTGCTGCCACAAGGATGAAGGAACTCCTGTAACCCAGTGGAAGAACTGTTTCAGCAGACAGAATGAAGATCACAATTTTCATGTAGTCATCTCTTTCAAACACACACACACACACACACACACACACACACACACGCTATGCAAGAGAAAGGAATTCTTTTAGCTATGTTTCCAGGAGGGCAACACACCAATACCCTTACACAATGGGCCCTAGACTAATAAATCGCTACTAACCCTACTCTACTTTGTCTCTTAATATACTCTTTGTGGCATTAAGTGAAGTTTTAAAAAATTTGCTACCTTTTGCTTAGAGAATTAATGATATGTTAGCATTTAATTCTGCATGCTTTTGGGGGCTCCCCTGTCACTGCCTCCTGTCTTGTCAGGGGAGCCCTGTGATTACCAATGTGTTCCATGTCACATCCAGTTTTATGTGGATTTGAGGGAATAGAACTCAGGTATTGACACTTGTGTGGCCAGTACCTTTTCCTCTAAGCCATGTCCTTGGGTTCCTGTAAGAAGTATTGTTAAGAGTTATGGTTTTCTCTGAGGAATCAGACTGGTACTTTTTCTTAGCCCTTGTCATGGTATAAATTTTCACTGGTCCCAAGGGAGTCTGCTTCTCTAGTTTTCACTTTACTTATGCCAGAATGAGAGGGAACCGATGGAATTTTATGGTTTAAGCGAAGATACTGGACACCCATGTGTCCTCACTACCATAGTAATGCCCACTCCTGCGCGGCCCCCCCTCCCCCGCATCATTTTTTCTTGTTGCCTCCCTACTTACTTGTCTGTCATTTGAATCTTGCTAACTCTGAAGAAAGATGAAGAGATAAAGATAAAATGAAGTACAGAATTAAGAGTACAGATACATTATTTTTTTTTAAACCTGTATCCTGAGGCAAAGGATTATCTGTATTTTTTCCCTGATTCTGTGACTCACAGGACAAATTGAAGATGAGTGTAATTATTTTTTTCCCAGCATTTTTCCCTTTGGGACACAGTCTGCTGCGTTTCCCAATGTTGATACTGGGCATTTTCTCATAACCCAGGTCCACCAATTTTATGGCTGTGCTGTCCCTGTAAGTTGCTGTGTGTGACTTTTTCTTGTTATCAGTTTTCAAGGTTGTATGGTTTTGGATATAGTCAGTGTTTGCTGAAATATTTATGGCAAGGTTGGAATAACCTCTGTGAATGTTACCAATTGGAGACAGTTTAGTTTCATTTTTCCCAAAAGGCAGCCCGCTCATAGGGAATGCGGTTTAGAGGGGTAAGGGGAACCTAGAAGAATTCTTTCAGAGCCGGATGGTCTCACTTCCTTACAGACGTGTGTGGGTGTAAATATATGTGAAGCCTGGTTCAGTCTCTTTACACTATTAAAGGAAATGCACAGCACCTGTTGAAGCTTGCTCGTTACCTGTTTGGTTGCAAAGTTTTGTGAAATCAAGTTACCGATAACGTAACTTTTCCTGCATTTTTATGAGCTTGAGGAGGAGGGAGTGTTGCGTCAGCGTGTCCAGCCCGTTCTTCCCTATGTGGGCATTGATTTTCAGTTTTGACTTTTAACAAATTTCATCTCACATGTATTGATGCATCTATTCTATTTTTGGTATCGCAGTCTGCAGCATTGATTGAAAATAGCGTGTTTCTAGTGAGGCAGCATTTTTTTTTTTTTTCTCTGCTGCAAGTGGCAGATGGTTGAAAAATCCATAGTTCAGTGAGTGTGCCCTAGTTTAGACACAGTTTGCCACACATAAAAGAGGACAGAGGAGATAAAGGCTATGGAGGCAGGCGGTCCTCAGGGGTGTGCGGGTGGGGGAAGCTTCTGAACTGTCTTCCCTGGGCCTTGACCCTCCTAGGGAGCAGGCGTGGTGAGCGTGAGGAATGACTGGGAGTTCGTTTCCGCAACTCTGAGACTTTACAGAGAAAGTTAACAAACTCTTTACCTTGCAGCACTGGAGAAATAGTAACTCAGTTCAGCCCAACTCTGTAATCCAGTCGTTTCAAGTTGGTGATGACCCAAGGCTACCAGACTTTGCTACTTATTTATTTACATAGACGACTAAACTAAGACTGAGCTGGGGGAAGTGATGCACTGTTTGTTCAGCAGCGTAAACTTTTAAGCAGCAGAGCTACGGTTCTGTGTGGTGTTTTGGACACTGAAGAACATGTTAGTACATTCAGTGTTAGGTGGATTGGTTGGAATTTGGTTTTCTCTGCATTAGAGAAATCCAGCTACACTTGGGTGACCAGATAGGGCTTCCATTTTCCAGGACAAAAATGCATTGTGATGTAGGTGCTTAGTCCTCCTGTCTCTTGTCCCCCATCTCTAGCGTGCGTGCGACTTTCACTGTTGTCACTGTAATGTGGAATTACCACGTATTCCGGGCAAGGGGAAGAGGTTGAATGAAGGAGATGAAAACTGTTTTTCTAAATAATCTTCTTCTTCTTCTTCTTCTTCTTCTTCTTCCTTCTTCTTCTTC